ATTTGCACAGAAAAGGAATGCGTGATCCCAGTTTAAAGTGTAGCAACATGGATCTCCTCTGTGCGTGTGTGTGCAATCCTGTTCTCACGTTTGCATATACCAATGCATTTTTAATACATAGGATAAGTCTTAGAGACAATTTGAAAGGGAATGAAAAAAAAAACAAAACAAAGACCCACCTGTGCATCACCATTGTATTAAGGGAAAGAACAGTGTGCAGAGGCAGAGAATCTCATTGCCCTCTGCCAAACTGATACATACTTTCTGGATCCAGAAACTGGTGGAAAGAACTCCTGTTGGCTGCTGGACCATATGAACGATTGCTTGAGCATCTGTTTATAGAAGGAACATTGCTGTGCAGTCAACATTATCACAGGTCGTTATCATAGATTTACTCCCCTGTTCCCTGCTTAGAAGCTCAAGGATATGAGAGCCATGAGAAGTCTGACTGGCCGTGAAGATGAGGCAAAGAACTCACTGAGAACCTCAGTTCTCTTTATGTCTGAGGAGGCCACCTCTCCCCTTCCATTTAACAGAGGGGGAACATCCTCATTTGCATGTCTGTTCTTCACAGTATATCTTAAGAATCCCTTCTTGTTGTTTTTTACATTGTTCTCCAAGTTCAGTCCCATCTGCATCTTGGCTTTCCTGATCCCATCCTTGCAAACCAGACAGCATCCTTATTTTTTTCCCAAGCCAATTCCATCTGCACCTTGGCTTTCCTGATCCCAGTCTTGCAGTTATAGGCAGCATCCTTATTTTCTTCCCAAGCCACTCATCCCCACTTCTGCTTATACTTTTCCTTTTTTTTCCCCTCAGCCTAACCTGCTGGAAAGAAATTCATCTTCATAGTTGAAATTTACTTTTTGTGTCTACAATTTACATGCATTTCATGCACCCTTGCATTTCATTTAACTACATTCCTTTTTTAGTCATGGTAAATGTAGGTAACCAGCAGGCATACTGAGAATCACAAACTTTCCATGAGCTGGAAAATTCTGAAAAATGCAGTAGCAGGAGACAGTCTGACTGATGGATCAGGAATTGGCTGGCTGGTCACAGCCAAAGGGTTGTGATCAATGGTTCTGTGTCAGGGTGGAGGCCAGTTGCAAGCAGTGTCCCTCAGGGGTCGGTCTTGGGACTGGTGCTCTTCAACATCTTCATCAATGACATTGACGATGGCATTGAGCGCACCCTCAGCAAGTTTGCAGATGACACCAAGCTGAGTGGTGCAGTCAATACACTGGAAGGGAGGAAAGCCATCCAGAGGGACCTGGACAGGCTGGAGAAGTGGGCCCATGAAAACCTAATGAGGTTCAACAAGGCCAAGTGCAGGGTGCTGCACTTCGGTTGGGGTAATCCCAGGTATTTATACAAACTGGGAGAAGATCTCCCTGAGAGCAGCCCTGTGGAGAAGGACTTGGGGGTCCTGGTGGACGAGAAGTTGGACACGAGCCAACAGTGTGTGCTTGCAGCTCAGTAGGCCAACTGTGTTCTGGGCTGCATTAAAAAAGGGGTGGCCAGCAGGGAGAGGGAGGTGATTGTCCCCCTCTACTCAGCTCTTGTGAGGCCCCATCTGCAGTACTGTGTCCAGGCCTGAGGCTCCCAGTACAAGAAAGACAGAGCTTTTGGAATGAGTCCAGAGGAGGACCACTAAGATGATCAAAGGGCTGGAGCACCTCTCCTATGAGGAAAGGTTGAGGGAACTGGGATTGTTTAGCTTGGAGAAGAGAAGGCTCTGGGGAGACCTCATTGTGGCCTTCCAGTACTTGAAGGGAGCATATAAACAGGAGGGGAAAGGCTGTTTACAAGGGTGAATAGTGATAGGACAAGGGGGAATGGTTGTAAACTGAGGCAGGGGAGGTTTAGGTTGGATATTAGGAGGAAGTTTTTCACACAGAGGGTTGTGACATGCTGGAACAGGTTGCCCGAGGAGGTTGTGGTTGCCCCATCCCTGGAAGCATTCAAGGCCAGGCTGGATGTGGCTCTGGGCAGCCTGGTCTGGTGGTTGGTGACCCTGCACATAGCAGGGGGGTTGGAACTGTATGATCATTGTGGTCCTTTTCAACCCAGGCCATTCTATGATTCTATGAATCTGCTTGAGACTAGCATGTACATTATAAATTTTTGGTCTTTAGAACCCTAGAAAATTTCCAGTGAAGGTGTTTACAACTTCAGGAATTTCATTACAGTGTAATGGTGGAATATATACAGTAGCGCTTTTCTTCATCATTCTTTGTAACAAAGTAGTCTGCAGACTTTCAGTGAGCTATAGACTCCAAGCTGAATGTCATTGAACTAAACTTTGTGTTTTAAAAAAGAATTGTTCTTTCTACTCTTGCTAAGTTAAATGGATTTAAAAAAAAACAAAAACAAAAAAAAAACTTGCGTAAATATATCTTTGCAACCTTTACTATAAGCTGTAAGGCACATTCTGGCAGCAGCAAAGTTCTCACTTGGGAATGTTGCCTGGACTTGACACATATGATCAGGGGCTTAATACTGCTCCTGATGTGAAAATTTTTGCTCATCATAAAACAGCTTCTTGGGAAGCTGCATTTCTGTCTGTTTCCTGCTTGCATTTTAAATGTGTTATACTTGTAAGGAAATCCCTTTGTATTATTAGGTTGTCTCTAGGGCAGTTTTAGATCTTGACTACCAGAAGAACTTCCTGCCTAGGAAGAAAACTTGAGTAGATCAGCAGTGGATAACAGAAAGCTTGCTTTTCTCTTTAGCAGGTTCCTGTTACAGACTGTAAAAAGAGGTATTCTTAGATGTCTAAATTCACATCTTGTCAAGGAGAAAAATATATTACATTAATGAAATTGCAAAATCAAAGATAATTTTCACTAATGTCTGTACTTCTGGAAAGACAGTTCAGTCAGTGGAGTGAATTAGTCTGAAAGCAATTAAATCTGCATTATCTGAAAAGCTAGTATTTAGACATACTGTGTATGATATTCACAGCTTGTTCACCATTCTCCCTGCCTTGTATCTCGCAGAAAGGTCAGGAGAATCCTATAGGTGAGCTGTGGTTTATGAATGCCAAAAGATTCTGTGAAGCAGGAGAATGAAACTCAAATGATGTGAGGAAAGAGTTGTTTAGATACTACAGTGATGACAGTGACAGAAGATGTTATACAGACGTAGAAATGCAGTAGAAACAGAAATGGTTTTCCTGCAATCATTCTGCTGCATGCCAGTTTGAATAATTCTGTATAGCAGTGAGCAATGAGATATCACGTTATAGTTTTAGAAACTCATATCAGAGAAAATAAAAGAAAAATTGAAGTTGGCCTGTCTACTGTTATCAAAGCTGGAGAGATTTGAAAAGATGTGTAATAGTTCCTTGATTTGGTTGAATGTAGCTGAACTAATACGTTCAATTAAATTTCAGAACAAGGTGACCAGGTTTGATTTCCAGGGTCAAAAAATAGATGGAGGCAATTGGTTGATCATCTTCAGCAATTTCCACTTTTCCTGAGTTGTTTGTCAGAATCATCTTGCAAAAGTTATCTCTCGTCTTAGATTAAAAGCTAAATTGAGGGATCTCAATTTCCTTAGAAATATTTCAAGGCTGAACTATATACACTACAGAGTATATTTTTTATTTGAAATCTTTTCTACATTTTTCAGTTCTCATCTTCATGGAGCTGCTTCTTGATATTTGTTTCTGGGCCACGCAAAACAACTCCTTTCCAGTCATTCTTAACACATACCAAAATAGATATGTTTTCCTCTCTTTAATTTTTTCATTGATAGTGTTTAGGAACTGTAATCCTGAAGTTTTACACAGCTATAGGTAGTATTCTGACAGCTGTCCTGCTATGACTGTCACTGAGATTATTGACTTGTGTGTGTGTGTGCAATTCAGTCCTATTGTGTGCTCTCAATGTTTTGGGTAGTTATTTCCCGCCAAAATATGGCTTTCCGTTATCTGATCTTTCTACCTGGCATTTAAAACAGTAGATGTCCTTGGACTTTAAGAGGAAAGAGTGGAATTCTTCCAACCAGCTGTAGATACTTGCATCTGAGCTATTCATCCAGGCCCCTCTACAGTTAGTTTTATGTTACTGATGGATTATGAAATATTTCACCTTGTCTTGGATTTCTAAACCAGCAGAGGGTAGCTTGGAAGTGCCACTTCCTCTCCAAAGGCTATGGACAAAACTTAGGAAAGCTATCTCAAATATCTGCATAGTAAGCTATCTTAAGTGAGATCACAGAAACACAGAATCATAGGGGTTGGAAGAGACCTCTAGAGGTCATAGAATCATAGGATCACCAAGGTTGGAAAAGACGTCCCAGATCAGTCAGTCCAACATTCTACCTATCACCAATATTTCCCACTGAACCATGTTCCTCAGTACGGCATCTAAACATTTCTTGAACACCTCCAGGGATGATGACTCCATCACTTCTCTGGGCAGCCCATTCCAGTCCCTGACCACTCTTCCAAAGAAGAAGCTTTTCCTAATGTCCAACCTGAATCTCCCCAGGCACAACTTGAGGTCATTCCCTCTGGTCCTATCACTAGTTACATGGGAGAGAAGGCTGACGCCCATCTCACCACAACCTCCCTCCAGGTAGTTGTAGAGAGCGGTAAGGTCTCCCCTGAGCCTCCTCTTCTCCAGAAGAAGAATCATCTAATTGACTAATCCAGCTCTCTGCTATAGCAGGTCCTGATGATGAGCACCACTGAAAAGAGCCTGGCCCCACCAACTTGACTCCCACCCTTTAGATATTTACAAGTGCTAATAAGATCCCCTCTCTGTCTTCTCCTGAGTCCCATTCCAAATACCTTGGTTAGCTCTGCCTTTGCAAAAAAGGCACAGAATGTTACTATTCTGACTTTGTAAAGGCATGGAGGTCATGAAAGACCTCAAGATGAAAGAATGAAGTACCATTCCTTCTCATTGTTGTTCATATTAAATGTTTGATTCTTTGCATCAGATTTGAAAATTTGAACATAATAATGACTATATATTTCTTTTCTTCAGACCTGAAAACAAAACAGCCAAAGGAAAAAGGACAATCCAGGAGAAGAAGGGCAAATGGCATTCTGGTCTTTTGCGTGGTTACTGCAGTTATTGTGACCATTGGTGTGATCTTTGTCATAATCTTTATGATTCTTCACTGGTAAGTGGACAACATACAATGTGTTTTATGTGTTACTTGATCAAAATATGGTATTATTGGTGACCAAAATGACCTGGGCTAAGCTATTTCAAGATTCTGTGTAGTTTAATATTTGTATTGCCAGTAAAGAGAGACAAGCAAGCTTTTGAAGACTGGATGGAAGTATCTTTCAAATCAGTTACATTGACTGCAGATGGGAGGGGAACGATTCAGAGCAATTTATGTAAACTAATTAAATGTGTGGTTTTTTTGTTGTTGTTGTTTTGTTTTGTTTGTTTGTTTGTTTGTTTCTATTTCAGGGCTGTTGTCAAAACTGGTTTGGTTTGTCAAGATGACAAAGACAAAAAATTGACCAACAAAAGCTCAGTGAGTACCGTGGAATAAGTAGGCTCTCACTCAGAGTCAGTGTTGGCTTTCAAGGTGTTGGAGTTCCTGCACCTGCATCTGTGATCTCACTAACTTCATTAGCCACAATACAAGAAGTGCCAGAAGTCTTTCCAGCATTTGCATAATGAACAAATTTAATTTTTAAAAAATATGCAAAATAAGTTCTTTAAAAAAAGATCAGATTACACAGAAGCAGTATATAAAGATATTAAAACAAAAACAAACAAAAAAAAAACAAAACAGGAGTACTTTTTACAGTTTATTCACTGTTTTAGATTACTGAACTTCAAATAAAATTATAAAAAGCATCCTATTTTAAGGTATGTATCCAATCTAGATAGTGTAATAGTTTGAGTAGCTCTGATTTGGAGAATTGAAGCCAAATTTTGAAAAGAAAAGAATATATTTAACATCTCTTGTACTGATGGCAGTGTTATTCTAGACTATATGAAACTGAGCTTACAGCCTAGGTAGAAACTAGGCAAAAACAAAGTGTTCTTAATCTTCCTGATGATCTTCAACCACAGAACCTCATATATAATCACTGTAATCACTGTAATCACACTTCTAGACATATGGAAGGATATGTAATGGTAGGGAAGATTGATAAAATTTGCTTTTTAAGCTTCATTAATTTCTTACCTTCACACTTGCACGTATAATCATTTCTGCCATCACATGGACCAAAAGATGTGAACAGAAGCGCAGCCTAGTTCAGGCCAAGAGTTCATGTATGTCAATCAAATCAATAGACAAAGGATGTTGAGGGAGGAGTACAGGAATGAGTCAAAGTTGCTTGATGTTTTTCTCACATATTCTTCCAGCTTCCAGCCATTTACAGTTTCTTTTTTCTAAGCAAGATGCATTTTCTAAGCAGTTAGCAGACTGGAATGGATTTCTTTTTCATTACTTTGTTCAGTGTTTCCTTGTATTTATATATGCTTCTCTCACATAAAACATCCTATGATGAGGAAATATACAGCACAACCTTACCTTTTGTCCATTGTCAACTGCTTCCTGCTAGTTTCATTTGTTTCACTTCTTTAAAAGACAACAAATATTGGTCAGTACTGTACCTCTCCCTGGAAAGGGCATCTTCTAGGTCTCCAAAATATTCCCAGGTTATTTACTTTCTAAACTGAAAAATGTAAGCTTTCTTAGTGATTGGTCATCCTGAAGCTCTACCATGTCTCTGACCATCCTTGCTGTCTTTCTCTAACCATCCTCAATTATGTTACTGTTATGTTTATGAAGGTGTAAATAAACATTGTTTGATATAAACAAATAAATAAAAAACAAACTGATGACATAGAAAATGGACTGTGGACTGAATAAAATGTTTAATAGATTGTATGATCAAGCTTTTTTCTTGAGTATAATAGACACGCTGAACTGTGGCCAAATTTTGAGCACTTCAGGTTAGAGAAAGCTTCTCAGTAAAGTGCATTACAAAAAAAAATCAGCCAAAATAAAATAGATTGGAGGTAGTAACTCATCCTTTCAAAGAATTCTTATTCTCTTCAGTTCCTGTATTGCTGCAGATGTTCTAACTGCACCATCTGCACATCCTTAAGAAAGCATTATCATATTTTTTCAGAGATACATCATTTTGTTTGCTGTTTAGTGAAAAGATCATTTACATTTTTGCAAATAAAACATCATATTCAAAAATGATATGCACTTAATTCTGTAAAAATAACTTTTTTAAAAGGAAATGATATTTTTGGTAACGCTCTCGTTAGCTATGTCATTTTATATCATGGGATAGACAAATGTAAAAATTTTGCAACATTAAGAAGAAAGTACATAGAGAAGGAAGGAACAGACAATAACGATTTTGCAGCTTGCAAAACTAGATTACACAGTCCACGTGAATTTATGATCCCATGCAATCAAAGACAGCCTATCATGGTGAGGCTGGGATTAGACCTTAAGTGCAGGTCTCAAAAATAGACTCAAACCAGTGGTTATTACTCAGGAGAGTGTTCCCAGGGAAGGTATGATAAATATGAATTCCTACCACCAGCTCTGGGATTGACTTCTGAATTCATTGCTGTCATGCTGTAATTTAGTTGTGCCACAACTAAAACAAAAAGAGAAAACTAGAGTACTATTTTTCGTAAGGATGCAAAAGTGTGCTGTTCTACAATCATTTTGTATGAGGGCTGCCTTTAAAGTAATGCCTCTTATTTTGTTCTGTTAGCCCACCATGCCAGAGGCAGAAGTTGGTGGTATGGCAATAGAGGTTGAACCTTCCCACCAATATTCTGTTACATGTTGTTGCCTTGTGACAAATGGCAGCAGAGGGGCGGTCTGACACAATGGCGTTTGACATGGAAGTGTGGGTGAAGCAAAGGTGTGGCACTGAATTCCTCTATGTGGAAAAAAATAATATCCATTGGCACTCGTTGATGCTTGCTGAATGTTTATGGAGACCAAACAGTGGGTGTGAGCACAGCAAGGTGCTGGGTGATGTGTTTCAGCAGTGGCAATGGTGATGTGCATGCAATTACCATGTTCTGGATGGACATGCAGTGCTGTCATGCCATGAAATGAAGAGCATCTTGATCAGCTCATCCATACAAATTGGCTAATGGTGGTGACTGTGTTGAAAATTGTTTTGTAGCTGAGAATTTGCTCTATCAAATAGTGTTATTGTGCTCTTTCAGAGCAACCTACATATTTTAATAACATTAGCAAAGAATCTCCAGTCTAATTTGGGTTGATATTTTGACGGTGGTTTGCTGGCAAATCCACCAAGAAGTAACAGACGCATAGTTGGAGTATTCGGAAAATGAAATTCAGAAAAGGCTGAGCTAATCCATACTGGTGAATGTGGGAAGCCTTAGAGCATTATAGAGTTTTTGCTGTTTATTGGCTTGTATCTTTTCAGTCTTTTGTAACTCCTGAAAGCTTCCTGAAATACAAAAATAAAACCTCTTATAAATTAGATGCAAAAATGCGAAAATGTGGAAGAACACCGTGCTGCTCACTAGATAAGATAAAGAGGCTGTTCTGTCGTCAGAGCTGAAATCAGAAACTCCAAGAAGTGAGGAAATTCCTGAAGTTAAGATTACTTTGGCCAAGCAATCATCACACAGCCACCATATTATCATTTTCTCACCCTACATGTAAGCCTGAATAAATTATTCTTTGTACTAGATGCAGTATAAAACATATAGGAAGTGCAAAATAATCACCTTAACATAACCCTCCTATTTATTTCTGTGGAAAATACAACAGATACAAAGAGTACAATAACATTATTAAATAGAGCAAATTATCAGCTACAAAACAATATTTTTCAGCATAGTCACCACCATTAACCATGCATTTTTGACAGCAGTGAAGAAGTCTGCATGCTGCGCTTGTAAAAAACCTGCCTGGCCATTCAGAGCATGGCTTGTCATTCATGTTGCTGTCACCACTGCTGAAACACATCACCCACTGCCTCGCTGTGCTCACACCCACTGTTTGGTCTCCATAGAAGCATCAATGAATGTCAATGGGTGTTATTTTTTACCAAGCAGAGGAATTCAATGTCACACCTTTGCTTCACACACGCTTCCATGGCAGACGCCATTGTGTCAGACCACCCCTCTGCTGCCATTTGCAACAAGGCAACCACACATAACAGAATACTGATGGGAAGATTCAACTTCTATTGCCAACCGCCTCTGACATAGTGGGCCAACAGGACAAGATAGGAGGCATTACTTTAAAGGCAGCCCTCATAAATTTTTTAACTTACGCATTTTTAAAGAGATGAAGAACATCTGCTGAAATGCTTATGGGCAAAAGCATTCACCACCTCGAATGTGTAACAGTTCTCTATGCAACTGCTTTTATCTACAGTGCCCAAGAAATGTAAGGAATGTTGTCCTTGTTACTTTCTGGCCGTGGATTAATTAAAATGATGTACAAGAGTTTCTCCTTTTCTGCAGATTCAAGCACAGTATTTCTGTCTTCTCTAGCTTACTGACTGCAGTGGAAACCTTACCTTTACTGCTCACACCAGGGTATAAAGCATTATTCTCAGACCTTAGGTGTGTGTCCAGCTCCTGCTAAAGCCAATACCACTGGAGCGCTGAAGCAAGATCTGCGGCACTTCTAAGGGGAAAGCACAGAGAAATGGGTAGGGAAAGGGGCAGAGGTCACATAAAAATATCAGTGTGATCTCAGGAGTTTACGCTGACTAGAAGAGTTTTCAGCCAATGCAGCTGAGGCAGCCATGAAGTGTGATCCACACAGAGATCCCAGCACTCTGCAGGCTCATGGTTTTGCCCTTGTTGGGATGCCCTCCTACTGGCACAGATGGCCCAGAGTGAAGGTGAAAATCTCATCATACCTAAATGTAAGCTGGTGCTTGGTTTTTTTTTCCCCGAATTAAGAATTTCTTGCACATGTGTTTTAGTGATTTCCCGAATCAGGGTCAAGATGAGATGCCAACTCTTGCTTTTTAGGGGGACATGGTTAGTGGGTATGGTGGTGATGGGTTGGTGGTTGGACTAGATGATCTTAGTGGTCTTTCCTAGCCTTAATGATTCTCTAATTCACTTGCTTTGCATAGTTTAATATGGCTGCATAAGCTTGTGGGATTTGTTTTAATTTAACAGAATTTTAGATATTTCCCAACTGTTCTTTCAGCTCCCTTTTCTTTTTCTTCTTAAAGAAAAATCTTGTTGGAATGCATAGCTTGTCTGCATGGAATCCGCCATCTGTCTCGGGAAATTTAGGATGCATTTGTATAGTTATTTAGGTCTTGATGTATGTGCAGTTTCTTTTATGTATGGTCTAATGGTGTATGCCATAGACATGATTTTTTTTCTGTGACAGCTTTACTGTCTCTTTTTGGAAATGAAATTTTTATGGTGAGTTGCAAAGGTTTTCATTATTTCTTTATAACTTCATTTAGTAGAACACACTTAACAAAATAGTAAGTACTCATGTTTTTTCTTTCTTTGCTGCTGTGCATACAGGAGAGAAATTGCCCCTGAAATATGGGTCATTTTTATCTGATGTTCTATAAAATAAAATAAATGACAGTTCAAAATGGATTTGGAGCTCCATGATTGGTGGCAAAATTTTGGCATCGTGCAGATATTACAAGGGGTAAATGAGCAAATAAATTGATGTGTGAATCAGAAAGCTATAGCTAACCATTAAGCCAAATGTACAGTGTTTGATACGAATTTTGGAAATAGAAGTCTGTACTTTCCAATTGTTTCTGCAAAGGGTAGAGATGGATTTTTCAGGAGAGCTGAGCATTCTTCTTCTGCTTCATTATGAGAAACTTGTTATATTAGGCCAATATTGTTCACATTTGGTTTCGTAAGTTTTTTCTTAGCTCTACAGAAAAACTTTCGGCTTAGAACTGGGTCAGGGTGCTCAGACTGGAAAATTCATTATAGCGAAATTTCAGGGCAATGCTACTTTAGCAGGAAATTGTGTTTGTGGGCTGTGAAAAGATAACTGGAGAAAAAGCTTGTATGCCTGAAGCAATTAAACCCCAAATCTAGCATGGCTGGATATGGATAATTGGTTGATTAAAATTACTTAACCTACATGTGTTTTGCTCCCTATCCTCATGTTCGTACAATTAGTTGCTTGGCAAAACAGGAAGGCTGTAGCCTTTAAATTTTCACTTTGGATGGTAAACCCTTTTCCCAGAGAGATGAATTTGTTTCACATGTACCTACAAAGTCTTATAGCACATTTGATGATCCTTTCTGAGGGTACCACACTATAAAAACACAAGAATTAAATAGTGGCATGGAGCTGCTGTGCAGATGAATCAGTTACTATTTTGATCTCACATTATGCTGTATTACACCTAGAATAATGGCAAATTGTTAATTAAGATCCCTTGATACTTGCGATGATCTAATCTTCTGCTGCATATAACTGCCAGAATGTAGTCTTTAGGCAGAAATTTTCCATGCTAACTACATGATCCTCAGGCTCCTACTTTTCTTTCTGAGGATGCAGGAAGTGTAGCCTGGTGTTTTACTTTTCTGGGTACCCACTCTGTGGAAAAATAGGTTGCTAATCTCATCCTGACCATAAATAAATTAGGGGGGAGCAGCGTCATGAGGAAGTTAGTTGGACGATGAGGCTATGCCCAGAATTCTTATGAAAGTGGGGAGAAAGGGCAGATAATATGAACAGAGAGAAGCCTGTGAGCAGAATCTTCACAGAGGGGAAGTTAGAAAGCCATATGGGAACTCAGAGGAGTATGAGGAAGGAGATTTGGTTTGGCAAGGCTGGCTAAGCAACCCAAGAGCTGGTAAGTATATCCAAGCAGATTGTCTGGAAGGTGTCTCAAAGGCAAAACAGGGCTTGAAAGACTTCCACCACTTCTCCCCTATTA